TGTCCTGGCTGTGCCCCCTCCCAGCTTCTCGCTGGCAGGGCATGGGAAGCTGAAAAGTCCTTGACTAGTGTAAGCACTGCTTAGCAACAACTGAAACATCAGTGTGTTATCAACATTATTCTCATCCTAAATCCAAACCACAGCACTGTACCAGCTACCAGGAAGAAAATTAACTCTATCCCAGCCAAAACCAGGGCAATCGTAAATTGCCTCTTTGGTTGTTGATGCTCTTTTTTTTCCCTTCCTTTTTTACAAAATTTGTAAAGAATACAATTTACTATGGCTGGCTTTTCTCCTTCTGTTAAAATTTCTACTAAGGAGTTCCCACAGACATTCTGCAGTTACTGCAATTATTTCGAACAGCATCTCCAAACTTACAGAATTCCGAACTGTGTGGCTTTGCAGCTAGAGAACTTGAAATGATTATTTTATCAAGTTCATATAGTACTGATACAGTAAAACGAGGAGTGAGGCTTTCAGTGAGGTCAATATTGTGGACAAGAAGAATGGATTACTCTTATACAAGATTATACAAGACAAAGAGGTGAACCAGCACAGGGGTAACTGGCAGTACAGCCATTGCCTGAGATTACAAAAGACAGTAAGCTGTCAGTCACTACAAACCACCTATACAACTCTATTATTTACAGCCCCTACCGATTCATCTGGTAGGCACTATACAGGACATTTTACCGAAGATAACTCTTACCTGAATGTAATGATTGCAAACCTTAGTACATTTCTGCACCGCAAAAGTATACAATCTGACCTCATCATACCAGGATTTAATGGCATCAGCAACATAGAAAGCTTGACGACTTCCAACCCAAATATTCTCTCCAGTATATGTGAAATTAGGATGGTGCTGATGTTTCCTACTTAAGTATACGTTATGTTCAAAAATGCATTTATTTGCCCATGCCCTTGCAGTCCTTGCCAAAGCTGCATCCCAAGTCTGCAAAACATGAAAGGTGAAATAGTTGTGCAATGTTAAGCTACAACCAGATCTTAAACATCAGATAAAACCAGTCAGGCAATAAAGTACAGATATCTATCATATGCGGGCGTTTCATAAAGAAATACTTTCCCTTATTTAGGCAAGTACCTGTGTTTTGTTTTCATCAACTTTTCCTGTTGCAGCACAGAAATATGAACTAATTTCATTAGACGAGTTTTTTCCCCCTTCACTGTTGAAAATTAACTTTGTAAAAGCACTTGCTAGCAACTGAAAAGATGTTTGAAATGCACTTTTATCTTCAGATAAGAAATTACTGTCACATTAATTAAACATGAAACTTTGTTTTGTTTTGTTGTTGTTGAACAGGTCATTAGGGATTTCTATTCGGTACATAACAATTAATTCAAAGTAAAAATGCACAGCTACTGTACATTCAGATGTATAAATATTTTAAGTATTTTTAAGAGAGCCTCCAGAAACAAATACTTACTCCTCCTACCGTAAAGCTTTAAATACACATCGGAGTATTTTACAAGGACAGCTTCATGAGGTAAACATGCCAATGTTTGGCCAGTAACTCATTCTGCTACCTCTTACTTCTTTGCAGTCTGTCAGCGTTAACACAACCTCCGATTCCTGAACGTGAACGATCTTTGGTACTTGTCTTCCAGTCATGACTGTTTTTCAGCAAGTTTCTTCTATCATTAAAGTACCTAGTTTTACGTCTTATGTCAAAGATCCTGTGTTTTATTGCCTAGGTTTATTGGTGTTCATACATTTCAGTTCACTCTTAGTCTCTATGTGGATCTTACAATAACTCCAATGGCTTCTGTCGTGCATGGGTGATTTAGATCACTTAAAGAATCACCGTCAAAGGTATTAGCAAAAGTGGTTTTAATATGATGTTGTACAGGTGCGACTTAACAAAGTTCCATGGCAAGGTTCACTCTATTACTGTACGGCACAATCACTTGAACAATGATTCAGAACTACCAAGGCACAAATCAAAGTTACCAAGACACAAAACAAAGTTACCATACTACAAGGTTATGCGCGGTATCGGTCGCTTACCAAAGATCTGCCGCTGGTAAAAAGTCTCTCTGCCTCAAGGAACAGCCTTGAGAGGTGTCTCGTCTCAAGGGGAGATCACCGCCATGCAGCCATACTGCCTAGCAGGGAGAGCTCAAAGGCGGCTCGCTTAGGCTGTCATATTTATGGAATAAAGTTGTAGTCAAATTACATGCGATGGGAAAGGTATGCATGAGACTCCTCATACCCACAACTTTCTTTGTTCCTTGGTAAATGAGTCTTGGAAAAGCCACCCGCTATTCACGTGTTAATCGCATGATTGCTGTTCCAAGCTCATATGCATCGATGCTCACTGTGTCACTCTGCTCCTTTGTGGGTTTTCAGAGGTCATATTGAAACTAGAGGAGTTTTTGGCCCATTTACGGCTTAGGCCTTTACCTCCTTTGAAGCCTAAACCAAACTACCACTAGTTTGGTTAAGGGGTTGAGTGCATCCGTCACAGCTGCCGATATTGTTTTCTCCCTAAGACCTTTAGTTTTTTCTAACCATATTTCTACATGAATACCTTTATTCATAATTCTTCCCGGTTTTCCTATTCCTGAGTACTAAAACTGGGTGCAGCATCTTTCACAAGCTTCTTCACTTCCAAGGTTATACCCTCTTATCTGCCATTCTGGCTTCAAATCCACCCATGCGAACAGCATTCTTTGCCATCAGTATCCAAGTACATGCATGTTCCCAAGCCTTCCTCAGGGTACTCATCCTTCAGCTGCTCACTGCCCACAACATTCTCCTCTTGCAGTACGAAGTGGACTAAACATCAAACACCCACTTTTTCAGCATCCTCTTCACTTTTGTTTAACCCTTCCCAGCAAAAAATTTCGAGTGCAATTTGTTTTGGTTATGACAAGCAAAGATTCTTCCTTGCCACCAGAAATCCCCTTCAGCCCCAGTATTGCAGTTCATATCCTTGCTTTTGATGGAGAGCCTAACTCTTCTGGATCAGTCCTGCTGCTGGACCATTGCTTCTTCCAAAGGAGAAATTCCTTGGTGTGAAATGTGAACACCTCCAGTTGCCCTGTCTCATTGCATCCTCATACTGCATGACTGTTGTTTCTAGACTCACCTGCCTACAACTGACTCAACTCACTACAATCATAGAATAGTTTGGGTTGGAAGGGACCTTTAAAGGTCATCTAGTCCAACCCCCCGGCCGTGGGCAGGGACATCTTCAACTAGATCAGGTTGCTCAGAGCCCCGTCCAACCTGACTTTGAATCTTTCCAGGGATGGGGC